CCCCCCCCCTCTCCCTGACAGACCGCACAAGTCATCAAGTAAAACATACAGAATTATCTGTCAAGCGTTCATTGAACAAAAAAGTGGCCTTTTTAAGACATATATACGGTAAATACATGACATAAAAACAGGCCCTTGGTCCCGCTCTGATTACCACACACAGGGAAGTGATGAAGCAGACCCAATTACACCCTAATACCTCCTCCTGAAGCTGCCAAATAACCACACATACCGAAAGTTTTTAACCTTTATTAATATCTTCCTGTTACAGGTCATAAACTTTCATATTATATCCCACAAATGATGAAAAATGTATATTTTCACAACAATAAAAGAACATCTCTATTGCATAAGTCTTTATATCTAATTGCTTTTATTTCTCCAATTACTGCTGTAAGTTTCATCACTCCTAGGCGAGTGTTTATTTTCTGGGTAATTGCAATGTTTACTTCTGTGTAATGGCCCGGAGAAACGCATTAAACTATCCAACTTGTGATGATGAATTATAATAATATATCCATTCTCATAAATAAATGCCCAAGCTAATAGGTTATACAATCAAACATGCTAATGCAACCACTTCCATTAACTCATTCACCCCTGAAGACACATTTGAACTCTTCCATTTCAAAGGTTGGAATAGTTCATTATGAAATTTCAGGGCAAAATAAGTTAAGAGACCTCCTGTGTTAAAGAGTCCATTTTTTATGTTCTCCGTCGCAGTGATTTCATTGTTGATTCAACCTGTTTTAAGAAACCAACTATGCTTACAGACCACATTTTGGATTTCCCAAGGGCGGTCTCTTAATACAGTTTAACTGTACCCGAGAAATACCCATGGGAAGTTGAAAATGTGATCTCTACACACAACTGGACTTTTTTTTAATACATGTCTGAATGAATATAAATCGTAATCATCATTATAATTCACAGGATATATTCAACTTATCAGTCTTCAATTGACAACAAAACAGACTCAAAATAAAATATGCATAACAATACACCAAATGGAGCATCATATGAAATTTGAGAAAGGTCCATCTGGTACTTTTGAGAAATAGAGTTAACAAAACAGGACAGATGACGGATTACAGAGGAAGGGCAATTTGATCAGCCCACCATCTAATGATGATGGTGTGTTAAAAATTGCTACCAAATTTGTTGTTACAAATATTTTGAAATCTGATCCGCTCTTCAATGACAATTTCTATTTCAAGAAAATTTGGTACTTCAGAATTTTTCCCCAGGAAAACAAAAGTGTCAGGTCTAAACAGGGTCAAATATAATAGTTGTCAGGTCATAGATTGCCCTACCTGGATTGGTTTGACTGTAAGCTTTGATTCTGATGACTGGTCCTCCTCGGTCACATTCAACATGGGCTCACTACCATGTCTGACCGTCAGCCCAGACCCTGTGAGGAACATAAAATTGGATCAACATTGAGATGATAGTAAAATATATATTACCCACAATAGTTGGAAATATAGGTTAGGACATAAGATGAATTGAAAATACAACGAAACAATGCTTAATGTAATACTAAAGGTGATGTCATAATTCATACAGATGGTTCCTAATTAGTCAAAAGAAAAAAATAAACGTACTGTACAGTAATACCTATAGAACATGAACAACCTTCAGATGACCTACAGGATGACCTTCACATTATGGTTAACCTTCAGATGACCTATTGCATCTTGACAACAAGGACATCATTCTGACGACCTACAGTACCTTGACAACAAGGACAACCTTCAGATGACCTACAGAACCTTGACAACATTGACAACCTTCAGATGACCTACAGAACCTTGACAACATGGACAACCGTCAGCACCTTGACAACAAGGCCAACCTTCAGATGACCCACAGAACCTTGACAACATGGACAATCTTCAGATGACCTACAGCACATTGACAACATGGACATCATTCTGACGACCTACAGTACCTTGACAACAAAGACAACCTTCAGATGACCTACAGAACCTTGACAACAGGAACAACCTTCAGATGACCTACAGAACCTTGACAACAGGAACAACCTTCAGATGACCTACAGCACCTTGACAAATGGACATCATTCCGATGACCAACAATAAATTGACAACAAGGACAACCTTCAGATGACCTACAGAACCTTGACAACAAGGATAACCTTCAGACGACCTACAGAACCTTGACAACATGGACAACCTTCAGATGACCTACAGAACCTTGACAACAGGAACAACCTTCAGATAACCTACAGAACCTTGACAACATGGACAACCTTCAGATGACCTACATAACCTTGACAACATGGACATCATTCCGATGACCAACAATACCTTGACAACAAGGACAACCTTCAGATGACCTACAGAACCTTGACAACATGGACATCTTTCTGATGACCTACAGGACAACCTTGACAACTTAAACAACATTCAGCTAACATAATATACCTGTTGTTAAATCCTTAGGAGTGACCACAATGTCGTGACGATTGTCCTGCAGCTCCTTACGAGAAAAGGATGGACTCTGGTCCGGGGGCTGGAAGATGTCTGGGCTAGCTGTTCCTGCTGAACTCGCACTTGCTCCATCTCCGTTGTGAGGCTGGTAACCATTTCCTCCCTTCTCCTCATAATCAGCCAGCAGCTGAGGAAAGAAAAAGAGATAAACACTTACTACCATACCATACCATACCGATCATTTAGGAATGCCAGTTTGGAATTTTTATTGCAGGTGCGCATGCATTTACTTTATAATCATTTCTATAAAATAGCTTGAAAACATTTCAATTGTAGCACTTCTGTCATCTGTGGTACGTGTATAAACTTAAGCAGAGATGTAGGAGATTGAGTGTTCAGAGGAGAATAAAATAAGTGATCCTATTTTGGTCCACTTCCGGGTAGAATTAAAACCCATCTTTACCAATTCATGTACCATGTAGGCAAGCTCAGATACCAAATTTCGGTATACATTCTTGAAATTGCATTATTTTTTGTAACTGGTTATTCTAATCCTTATATTTTTCAGGTCATTTCGAAAAAGTAATCACAAGCCTTATCATTGGAGGAGATTATGACATGGAAGTCTTCTTTACTTTGTTCATGATCAGTAGTTATTGCTCTGAGAAACTTGTGTGAAGAGTTATCAAGTTATTTGAACCGGATTGTTACTTGATGATACAGATATGATGTATAGGCTGAGCGTCATCAACACTGATGGGAACTGTTTGATGTGGTTTAACACCCACTGTTTTGTGAAGAAACTTACAGATAAGTGATAAGAATGATCCAGAGGTTTGTGTAGACTGGCCACCAGCCCCTAAGTGTTAATGAAGAATTCCTCAGCTGCATTTTACTACTAGCTTATCTCCCCCTACTTTAGAATCAGACATCCAAGTGATCAAAATTACTAGAGTATTTTTTTTCTCTCATAATAATTCAATATTCTAGAGACGGGGGCCAGTCCAAGGATGGTGGGGCCAGTGGGTGTTAATAGGGTCTATACTATAATTTTGCTAACCAGGAAATTTTCATTGCAGTTTAATTTTCGCCGTTTTAGCCATCAGCAATATAAGGACAAAATAATCATGACAGCGAATAAAAGTTCACCACACAGTTGTTCACCAATAGTAATTACATGTAAGGTCAAATATACACTGGGGTAAGTAATATGGGTTTCATCAGTGAAATATTTGAGAAGGTGAAATTTCTCGTTATACAGTACATTTTCCCTTTGTTCTTGTTTCCTTTATTGTCCTGAACATTAAACCAAGGTTCATTTCACGCTATGTACCAGAGATTAAAAATTTCGGCAAGAAATATAACATTCCTAATGGCTGACCTAAATTGGACACCATTTCAAACCTACCACATTGCCTGTACTTTAAAACAGACATCTCAGAATCTTCTTCACAAGTCAGAATGATATATATTTTTTTATATTTTCTCCTCCCTTCATTGTGTTCAGCGGATTTGTATACAGATACACAGGACACCAATCAATGCTTCAGTATACATGTTGACAGACGGCTCTAATTTTATTATTTACATTACTGTACATCTAAAACAGCATGTGCCTCGAGCTCTATTTCATTCTGTACATTATTTCCTGGACTCTGATATGGCTGTTGACCAGCTTTACATTTAGGCCTCCATAACAAGACAAAACCGATTTAACTCATGGTAATTATGATAAGAACCACATGTTTGACCTCTATGCACCCTTATGATAGCAGAGATGACCTTGAGGTCAGACCCTAATAACACCAATTAAGGTCTCGAGGGCTTCTCGTCCCATACACAACACTATCCCTAACAATGATATAGGTAAACTGTGGGAAAACGAAGATAGAAAGCCGAGGATTAGACCAGTGTTGTTGTAGCTGGTGGGCCGTGTAATTTATACTTTCAAGTTCATGTCCTCACATAAATGAATTAGCCATCAAGGTTTGTGTGATCTCTATGTGGTTTCAATAAATACATTTATCTTTTCTATTCCAATTGATTGCCTTGCTTTGTAGCTACATTTTATTTAGGCACTGCAGTTTAAGTATAGAACTTTAAAACACCCAGGAAAAGATTCACGATAAACTCTAGTTCTTCAAACTAAAACACCTGTATATTTGGTCTGAACCAACTAGCTTAATCACACTTTTACCCTCCAGAATGTAAACTGATATCACATATAAATGATGAATACTAGCTTGTACTGCAGACACATACATTGATCCAGGAGCAATGAAAAGTATGTAGGTTGTATGTGGAGCAAGAGGTACAGTTATATATAATTAACAGTTGGTTTTGTACGTGGCACATAGTTAAAATTAACATAGGTTCTTCGGAATGACCAGAAATGAAAATGCTTGCAGGAAAAATTGTCCCTTAACCTTCAAAATCAGTATCAATAAGATTCAACAAACGCCCACCACAACGTCACCATATATAATGGCAACCTATATCCACTGCCTGCACCAGGAACTGTAGAAATAGTTCTTTCGTAAACATTTTTTTAAATAAACAAAAGGGCACAACTCTATAAATACAGGAGGTTATCTTATTTCTCTTCTTCATTTACATCTTTGCTATGAAAGTGTATAATATAGCAAGTATCATTTAAATCTTTACAAATGTTTAGGTGGAGTATAATTTTTTAACAAAGGGGGCATAACTTCCTGATAAGGGGATGTATCTCCTATAAATATACCTTTTTGATATTCCTTCGATATAAAGGTTCTGTGAATCAAATGTCATTCCAATTGGTGTGGTACATTGGAAGGAGTAGTGTAAACAATGATTTTAAACTAAGGGGCATAACTCCCATAAAATTAGCTGGATCGAAATAGTATTCGCAGGTGTACAACTTCCGAGTGTGATGATTACACTAGTGGAGGTTTATGAAATTTGCTGATAAAAAAGGAATGGATTGTGAATACAAAACTATGTCTACAGACACATCGCAGACAACCACATTCCTGTATCCCCCACCTAAATCATTGCAGGGGGTATAAACATGAGAGGGTGTTATTTAATCTTTGCAGCTGTCTTTTTAATCAACTACATAAAAAAAATGGTCATAGAGATCTATACTGCTTGAATACTTGATTGATTGAATTCTCTCTTCACTGAAGCTGTTCTTACAAGTGTACTAGAAGCATGACTACTTATAAGACACAACGGCTTGTCAGCCATATGTACAGATCTATGAATTCCTAGTCAGTACACATTGTATATTACTGCACACATGTGCACAATGAATAGGAGCTGTTCATGTGATTACGAAAAAAATGATACAACACTTCTGCGTAGAGAAAAAAGGAAGGATAAAAAGAAACCTAATAGGATGATGTGATTCATCTGAGAATGTGGTTTACGAAGAATACAATTTCTAAGGTACTCATCAAATAGCTCTAGGAAATGAAAATCCCCAATATAAAGCGACTTAGCCTCTTTTTTGTCTTGTTACTCTGACATATTCAGTGTAAATGGTTGAAAGGAAGCATGTTACGTGCATATTTCTGTTAAAATGTAAGACCAGATGTTGTATTTTTGCGAGGGCTAATGAAATAATTAACACGCTAATTTATGATAGATACCATATGTACATGTGATTCCACTCAACACGCTCCCCATTACATTACTCTGCCTAGCACCTGGCCCAATTACAGTAAATATCTTATCAAAAACTCCCACAGGGGCGTAACATTTTCTCAGAAGGAAAGAGTGAAATGGAACATAAGTACTACTGAATTACAATTTGTAAAATGTTTTGAATTTTTTAACTATAATTCAATGGCGGACCCAGGGGTGTTGCCCTAGTTGCCCGGGCAACACCCTTTTTTCTGTGTCCAAAAATAATCTGGACGTAGGTTTTTGAAGATTTTCCTGTTTCATATGGGATTTCCTTCTAATATCAACCATCCCTTGAACTATGAATTTCTATGGCTTCCCCTTGCCAGCAGTTTGAATATCTATATATGCCTAAGGGTGTTTCCCAAACAAGGAGTCCAGTACTTATACTCTAAACAATAGGGGATTAATCCTCTATTGTCTATATGTTAGTAGGGGGTCCAGTCAGGTCAGTGGTCAAGGCTCACCGGACTGTCTCTACCTAATCTTATTGTTCTAATGTCACAGTGTGGTGATCACCCTGCCGTTGAGAGATGACTATACCATCTGTGGAATTAGGTATATAGATAAAGTGTTATTTCTAAGGTAGAGTCCATTTCATGATAGATAAACCTGTATTTTCACCTGTGGTTTCATGTACACATGATCACCAGGAGTGATTTATTATACCAATTAAGAAATATAAATTTCAAAAATGTCAAAGACAATAAAGCACCCTCCTTAGTATTACTTTATCAGGTGAATAATAACCAATGTTGGCATCAAATTAGGTGTACATCCTTTTCATTAGGAGTTGCCCTTGTACATACGTATGCATACTATTTCACAATAAAAGACAAACAATTAAAACATAATTCATATTGATGACAAAATAAATAAGATTGTTTTAACCAAAAACCTACATTTTTACCATTTTTTAGAGAATTTGTTGCACTCACTCCGCTCGGCAATCATAAAATATAAATACTCTAGGTTATAAAATATAACCTGGAATAATACCGCAGACTCAGAAAACTATTCTACGCCTCATTCGATCTGTTTGACAATGGAAATAATGTCCGATAAATTCTTGCTTTCTACGCTCGGCAGTGCTTGAAAAATTTAGTATTACATCTTCAGAGAAAAAAAATTGAATCGATATGCTCGGCAGGGAAAATATAATTGTCACAATCTAAGAAATAATGAAGTTCTGTTATATATTTTTTGATGCCAGAAAGTAGTATCATGTACAAACTACATGGAAATTCTAATTTATTAGTTCTAGATAAGTGCAAAAATCTGTCCTTTTCTAAGTTTAAAATTTTGGGCAACACCCAAAACTAATTTCTGGGTCCCCCCTGTAATTGGTACAGTACATCTAACGTGCAATATTTCATTATGAGCAAAAAAAAAGTTGGTACATTGCATATTACGGCGGGTTCATTGCTAATAGAATCAAAGAGTGTATCTGCTCTGATAAAGACTGACAAATGTTCATGAATATTATTGTAAAATAGTTCCCAGCAGGTCATCATGAAGTCT